ATTAGGAGAAGGGAAGGGAAAAATGAAGCGGGGGAAATTGGAGGGGGAGACTAACCATAAGACACTATGGACTCAGAGAAACAAAATGAGGGTTTTAGAGGGGAGGGGTTGGGGGGATGGGTTAGCCCAGCACGGGTATTGAGAAGGGCACGTATTGCATGGAGCACTGGGTGCTCTACCAAAACAATGAATCATGGAACACTACATCAAAAACTAATGGTTTACTGTATGGTGACTAACATAACATAATAAAATTAAATTAAATTTAAAAAAAAAAGAAACCACAAGTACATGAGAAAGTTATGTAGACCCTCTTTGTCTCACTCCCCTGTTCTGAGACATTGAAATATGAATATGGCCTACCTATTAGTATTACGTTATGAGATTAACAATAATTAAACACAAGGGAAGCCTTAAGAAAAATAAATAAATGGTGTTTCATAATTGACCTAAGTGTTCAATCACTGAATGACTGCAGGAATAAGGTAGACGCTTGGGGGTGGTTGAATCCAGAGAGGACATTTGGATGGCTCCACAGCAAGGGAGGATGGAAGCTCACTCTGAGCTTTTCCATGGGAATGATAGTTTACAGCTCATGGATGACACCTGTTACCATCTCCTGTAATCCCCAGGTCAGCCAGATTGACGTGGGTGGGGGCAGAGCAGAGGTCGTAAGCCATATTCTACAGTGGGAGGCACTGAAATGTAGAGAGATTAAGCAACAGGAGTTACCATACTGATGAGTATGGGGTCTGGGACAGGAATAGAGTTGGTTCCCTGGGGAGAGACATCCCTGAATACCTGAGACCTACCCAGGGCACCTGAGATCATGCCCTAAAGCCCTGAACCAAATCACTTTCTCAAACCCTCCTGTCCCAAATTGTCTGTGGGAGACAGTTGATGCACTGGACGAGGTGCCTGAGCCAACACAAAAGTCCAAATCCTAACTAGGCTTCCAAACTCTAGGTTACAATCCATGACCCAAAACACAAAGCAATTACCCCCGAGGGAAGCCCCTCTGAAGGGCCAGGGGAAGCCCAACTGTGGCCATCCTCCCCCAGCATTCACATTACCAGCTGTCACACATGGAATCTTCCCAGTGACCAGCTGACCACTTTAGGGACCAGTGAGTGGTCTGTCTGCTCAGCTGCTAAGCTGACTCAGAACCCAGGACATTCGAAACCAACTGTCACATGATGGCTCTGCCAAGAATTAGATTCCTTTTACTGACCAACCCTGGCTGAGCAGTTACTGTGAACTAACTGGGAAAGTGGCCACCTGGGCTGGTGCTTTGGTGGTTTAATAAATTGAACCTGTGACCTTCCATGTCTCACTGGTTGTTGATCTGAGCGAGTGTCCAAACAGCCTGGCTAAGGTCTGGCTGACAGCCGGCTGTCGGCTACACTGGCTCTGAGTGGGCACCTTCAATGCTCCTCCCTTCTGATGAGTCACTCAATATCCAGTCTTTACACTTTTCTCCTTCGCTAGATCCTTAAAGGGCAGGGGACAATGTCCCATCTCCTCTTAGAGAGCCCCCAACCATACACCCACAGCCTGCAGACCCCCGCCCCAGGACACTCCCCAGGACCACCAGACATACTTTCCTACTTTCTATTTCATTCAGGAAACCTCTATGCTGATCATTTCCAATCTTTCTGACCTAGCATGGCCCCACTTTAAATCTAAAATTTTCATCTCTAAGCCCACACCATACCCCAGACCTCAAGATTCTTAGGCAGCAATTCCACAGGGTTGTCTCATCACTCAGACTTAATATTTCCAAAGCTGAACACAAAGTCAAGAGAACTTCTGGAACCAGACACTTGCTGGAGCAATCTAGAGAGTTGAAGGGAAGGGGGAAATTGTGAATGTCCAGAGCCACCCAAATCAGGAAAACACCAGTGTGGGGAGTACCTGGGCCAGACCCAGACTTCACAGGGTTCCCTTCTAGCAGGGTGGGCGTAGCACACCTGACTCAGCCCAGCTCCCTGCCTGGACCATTCAGGGTTTCTTGACACCATTCAGTGGTGCTGTGGATATAAATGAAGACCAACCAGATGATACCAAGTAAAGGTGATTTATTCAGAACTTGCTAGAGCAAGGAGAGCAAGGGAGTCAGCCATTATCCCTTGTATTTGGGCAGAGATTCAAAGGAGCAGAGGAGGGAAATTTTATAGGCCCAGAATGGAAGGCTTCAGGTACGCTCTGACTAGAGCCCCTTGGCATAAAGAAGCTGCAGTCAAGGCCTAGAAGCAGGGCATCCCATGTCATTGTTAGGGCTGTTGTAGCTGCTGGTCCTCAGGTGCAAATAGGGAAAAAAATCAGGGACATTCTCAGTTACAAATCATGTCCTGGTCATTCGGGGCCAATTGCTACAGAGGTTATTGGTTAGGCTTCTGGGCTGGATGCTCCAGATGGTGGTCTGACATCTTACAAGTTGAAAGGGAAATCTGTAGATAATGGGTTGGTTTCCTGGGCTGCTGACTTCAGGCCAGAGTCCTATTTTTATCTATGGTCAGGGTACTGCCCATTTGTCTCTTCCATTCTCAGTCCCCCATTTGGGTCCTTATCTCACTTGGGAGAGGTTGGCCCACTCCGAGAAGACTAGAGATCA